CTTACATGAGTTTGATCATATTAGCTAAAATTTGAGAGCTTGGACAATTTAAAAACAAAAGAAAAGACTCTTTGCCATAGACCAGAGGAGTATCCATTAGATTGGGATACATGTTGATGTTGTCCACCGATGCATCATTTCAGCTAATCTTCCATCATCTCCATGGTAGACAGCTTGTAGTCGATTTTGGATGTCCTTATCAATGCTTCCATAATCTTAGCAACAAACACTTTGCTTTGCTTTTTAAACTCTTTTAATAACATGACTAGTCTTAAGACATTGACAAGAAGGAAAAACCACATAGCATATACACTTCTGTTCTCTTACAATAATATAGACTCTACAAAAGTTATTTATGATGATGCATCTTCTAACTTACAGAGAAATCTGAAAACTTGTGCGGTAGAAAGTAGTATACACAAACAATTCTTTAAGATAATAATAATCCTGAGAACCCTCACCATCAAAGGTTTTCCCCCATAAGGGTTCAGTTTACGGTCTAGTTCTCTTGTGTGTCGAAAATCAAAGGGAAATCGTCGTCTTGTTCTGTGAATGAGTAACCTTTTTTATCAGCAATAGTTCTCAGTGACTGATATGCCTGAAACATTGACCATCTCTCTTTAGGTCTTGAAGTCACACAGTTACAAGCAATCTCAACAAATTTCGAGATTTCTTCATCATGCCCTTTCCCTCGAATGTTTTCATCGAATGCATCAGTGATTTTTCCTGAGCTTTCAATCTGTTTCACCCAATCGACCAAATTCCCTTTAAATCCTTCGCCTCCTCTGGCTTTTAGCCCTGTCGCCAACTCCAAGAGGACAATCCCGAGTCCATACACGTCGCCTTTTAGTGAAGCTAGCATTGTGGTAGAGTACTCAGGAGCTACATACCCAAACTCTCCTAAATCACCAGTCATGAAACTGCTCTCATTGCTATCTGAGGGAACCATAAGCCTTGCAAGCCCGGAATCTATAATCCTTGCATCGTAATCCTCGTCTATGAGAATCACACTTGAACAAATGTTTTGGTGAAGTATCGGAGGGCGACATCCATGGTGAAGCCAAGCCAGACCCCTAGCAGCACCTAAACCGATTCTAAACCGAGCCAACCAATCCAGTTCAACCCCATTTGAACCTAGCAACGAGTGAAGCGTCCCGTTAGACATGTACTTGTAAACAAGTAATTTCTCTTCTTCCACAACGCAGAATCCAAGAAGTGGCGCTAAGTTAGGGTGACGAAGCTCCCACAACTGATTCATCTCATACCGAAACTCCCTCTCATCAAGCTTACAAGTGCTCAAATGCTTGACCGCGAGCGCTGACCCATCCGGAAGAAGCGCCTTATACGTTGTTCCAGTTCTAGTGGAAACAATAATGTTCTCGGAGCTGAAATTATTAGTTGCAGCCATCAAATCACCAAGTTTAACCTTAACCAAAGGCTTTTGAAACAAAGAAACCTGAGCAAGCTTATGGCTACGAAGTCTCTGCGCCAAACTACTAACTCCAACCTCGGTTAAATTACTTCTCCGTCTTCTTGTCCACTTCAAATGGTAATACCACCAAACCCCAAAAGCCAACAACATGGATGCAGCAGCACCAAACACACCAGCTGCAATTATAATAGCAAGATTCTTCTTACTTAATCCTCCACAGCTCGAAGATAAAGGCGGTCCACAAAGACCTTTATTCCCTTTGAAATCATCAGCTGAATAATTTGGTGAGTTCAAGAAAGAAGGAATGCGACCAGTTAGATCATTGTTAGACACAGAGAAACTTGCTAATCTAACCAATGACGAGAACTGAACCGGGATTTGACCAGATAACCGGTTATCAGACAGAACCATAGAGTTGATGAATCTACACTTTGCTAAATCAGTAGGAATCTCACCGTTCAATCCATTGTTGGACAAATCAATAGATACCAAAAATGGTAACCAATTACACAACTGTGTAGGGATATTACCAGAGATTCGATTGTTAGAGAGATCTAGTTTCTGTAAACTCACACAGAATTGAAGTGATTCTGGGATTCGACCAGACAAACCCATGTCTCGAAGCTCAAGATTGATAACCCTATTCTCTTGATTGTTCCAACAAGACACACCAACGAAACTACAGAGGAATCCGACAGTTGTGTTTGCGAAGTTCCATGATTTCAACGTGCCTTGAGGATCGGTAAGAGAGCTTTTGATTCCTTTTAAGCATCTTATGTCGTCTTCATCTGCAGACAT